TATATAAATATTATTTATATATATAAAGCCCATGCCTGAGATATATATATACACACAAACACATTCTTTATAAAATATATATATATGTGCACATGCACACACTTCATGGATGTGTGTGCATACATATGTGTTTGCTGTGTGTGTATTTACATGCCTATATAAATATATATATTCATAAACACATTTAGATGTGTATATAAAAATGCATTTTATCTAGATTTCAGGGGCTAGGTGAGGGGCGCAGAGCAAGGACGCGGGGCCGGTCGCAGCCCCCGCTGCAGAGAAGATGCCGGCGCAGGGAGGTTTGCCGAGAGCCGTCCAGCGAGCCATGGCCAAAGCAAGGCAGGCTAGGCGGGCGGGTTGGCAGCATGGCCTAGCTCCCGACGAGAGAGACGGATGGCATTTCGGTGCCGTCGGTGGCCATTGGCAGGTCTAAAGAAGGCGTTGCCTCACTCTCGGGTTTGGCTTTGGTGCCTTCATCGGAGGCAGATGGTAGTCACGCATGTTTTCTGCAGGCCACGGCTAAGGGCTTTCACCGGGGGGGTCCGAGCATTAAGCTCGTGCGCAGTGCATTGCTTTTTGTGCCCGGGGTCTCTCTGAGAAGCACTCAGCGTGCAGTATGTGGCATAGGAATGTGTGCCTATGGATGCGTGCAAGAGTGTTGTGCAGCAGATGAAGGAAGGTGAGCACACGCTCTGGGGACGGGTGGACGGGGAAGCTATCGCAGAGGAGATCGGTGAGCCGGGGCGCAGAGGAAATCCGCTCGATCGGTGGCAGAAAAAGCTCCAGCGTCGGGCAAAGCGCACAGGGAGGTCGGGGAACAGGAGTGGGAAAGGCCAAGGAGCGCTTCGCTTCTGTGCATCGCCAAGAACAGCTCCCGAATCCCGCCTGCCGTCGCTGGCAGAGGGCGGGAGCGAGCGGGCACGCGAGAAGGCGTGCTAAAAGCCAGAGCCGTAACGGGGAGCGGGGGGCGCTTCTGCGAATAGATGCTGTGCAGGCTAAGGGAAAGGAGCAGCCAGGCAGGCTGCTGCTTCCAGCACGGAAAGCAAAAACATTTGCCACAAATTGCGCTTCCGTGGCCTAGCACGCGGTCGTTAACGAGCCTGCTTCACCATGGGTTTGCCAGCCTGTGAACCGTTATCTGCATCCACTGTCATTTCCTCATGTAATGATTACCGAGTGGGCTAATTACTGTCTGTCATTGTCACGCCAGTGTACGAGCTGCTGCATTAGTGTCTCCCGCAATGGAGGCTCCTTACTTAGTGTCTGTCCCAGCCGTCATGGCCGGGAGGCAGCCGGGGCAGGGCGGGAGGAGAGGATAAATGGACCTGATGGGTTTCAAGCAGGAGCGGCGAAGGCGAGCGGCGCAGCGTGCAGCAGCGGCCTCCCGGTCCCCCTTCCAGCCCAGTCAAGGTGGTGGGGCTGCCGGGAGGTGAGGGGAGATAGCGGGTCCCCTCCAGCGGGTGGTGGCAGGGCTCCGGGCAAGGGGGCAGGGACCAAGTGGTGGCCTTGACGTCGGCCTTTGGTGCAGCATTGCCGTTGCGTAGCGGCGAAGGGCGCAGCTCTCGGCCACGGGCGGCTGACGGCAGTGGTCATACCTGCCCATGCCAACAGGGGACAGGGACACGAAGGTCCTCCCGCCTCTAGGCCTCACGCTTTTGGGGCAACGAGGAGCAGCAGGAGGAAGGCTGCCTGCGCAGGTGCCGCTCCTGCCACCGGCCTGCCGCAAGCAACACCTCCATCTTGTGGTAACAGCAGCATCTGGGTGCCAGATGCAGAATCGCATCTCTGCGCTGCACGGCGCCCCGAGGCCGCAGGGGAGGACGCGTCCCATGCCGGCGGCCCCAGCACGGCACACGTGTGACCGGGAGGTCCTGATCCCCCTGTCTTCAGGTGTTGCGGTGCCATGGGCACACCCCTCTGTCCGGCGGGGACGTGAGGCACCTGCCCGTGGCACATGCCTGGTCCCCTGGGTTTTCACGCAGGCATTTTCGAGAGGGCCCGGGCGCAGGCGGGAGGAATGTCAGGGAGAGGCGGCAGG